GGGTGGGACTGGGTGGGGAAGCGAAATAAAGTCGCTTTTGGCTTTGGGAGTTTTGTCGTCCGCTTTCAGACGACGTTTGATTCTCTCATCGAGTCATCGGTGTATTTGCTTCCTCGTTGAGGTTGCAAAGCAACGCACGATTGAATTCATTGAAATTAATTAATTCTGTCCAGGATCGTTTCTAAACGTACTAGCATTTTTCCGCTTCACGAAATCATATGTAAAATCATTATTATACGTATTCTAGTGTTATGCGATGAGAAACGAAGTCGATCAATTTGATCCGTCAGAGTCGGTCGTACGGTTTAAGTTTTATATGACGATAACGGGGGGGAGTTCTAAGGATAGATGACCAATGCGAATCGATTGGAGGAACGGGATTATCGATTGCGCGAACGACTCAGGACTCCTAAGAGGGTAAACTTGGATGAATGTTGAGCTACGTCCTCGCTACAGGAGTATTGTCTGTGAAGCAGAGTCGAGGAATAACGAAAACCGCTAAAAACGAACGAGGGTGAGGATGAGGGTGGGGGACCAAGAGGGACGACGACTTCTATAAAAAGGGTTAAACTTGTTCCTTAAAGGAAACGTCCACTGGGGGGAGGATGGTGGCTCGAGTGGCTTGAACAGAGTCTAAAGATTATACGCGATAATCAAATAATAGCAACATAGCGTCTACGCTTTCTCGAGTCTTCCTATCTATCGATTAGTTTAATTATTAGTCCGCGATAACTCGATATGACAGGTTACTAAGTTTGGCCGCTTCTAGGTTTTCTTAGATAATAATCTATCGCCGCTAGAACTTGTCCCTCGCGTCCCTCGAACTCGGCTCGAACCGCGCGTCGCGTCGCAGTCTAGTTTTATATAAAACGTTAAAATGCCTTACCGTTAGCCTAATCGGGCCATCTACAGCGGCCGCGATCATTATACTTACCCCGTGAGCGGATCGCTATAATTCAGCGTTGAACGGTTTCTATCTTATTAAGATCTCGAAAAGTTCCGTCGTCTAGTCTGGAATAAAATTAATTTGTATCTGTGTACTTTAAAAAGGAACCATCAAGGGTATCAAAAGGGTCACAAGCTTTTCGATTTCTTGATGATTTTCCACGTTGATCTTTAGATCACTCTACCCTGACTCGGAAATACGTATTTATATAAAAAAAGAATCTGCCGAGGAAAATACTATGATTATTCTCACCCCTAGTGTACGTAATTACAAAACGCTAATCTTTTGATTTTATCATAGTAGATCGTTTCCGCGGCGCGGCTCGAGCCCCGAGAAGAATTGCGAGACCGAGAAATCTCTTCGATCCTCGGTTACGTCTCCATCGCTCTTTTACTCGACTCTAGACGAAGACTACTTATCCTCCCTGAGGAGTGCCTCCTCGGCCTCCTTCCGCCTCGCCTTTGCTTCCTTCTTCGCCCTCTTCTTCTCCTCCTTCGCCTGTTTCTTAGCCTCCTTCTGCCTGCTCTTCTCTGCCTTCTCCTCCTCTTTCTGCCGAGCCTTCTCCGCTTTCTCCCGTTCCTTCTCCCGCTCTTTCTCCTTCTTCAACTTCTGGATCTCCTGCACCACCGAGAGTTTCGGCGCCGATTGCGGCCTCTTCGCAGACGCCGCCTTCGACGCCGATGACGACGTCGAACCGGGCGCCGCTGCGCTCGAACCCCGGGGACTCGGCGACGACTCCAATTGGGTGACGATTTTTTGAGCACATCTGCGGAAGTCAAGGGAAATAGTTGTTCGACGGACGGACTGACTGGTTTGACACGATTTCTTATCTCCTACGAGACGTGATTTTGTTCGGTATTAGATGGATAATATAAAAATGAGAAATTGAAGAAACAGGCATTTGTTATACAAGGTGTCCCAGCAAGAATGATATAGTCCAAGAGAGGTGATTCTGAAAGTGTTTCTGAAAAACAATTCCCTTTGGTAAAATGCAAACTGAGATATGGTTTTTGAACTATTAATGAAAATCACTGACCAATGAGAGCACGTCTCAGGTGCCTAGGACTCTATATTTACTAATAATTAATTAACACAAGCTTTCAAGAATCTCTCTTTTTCTTGTTATGGTTCCTTCAATTAAAGTGGAGAAAAGTTTCCATAAAAATATATGGTAAATAAAAATTACAATAATTTTTAAATGAAGTAATACATTTTTCATGAATTTTGCACGGATATTTGTAATATTAATCAAGATCAAACAATAGAGATTCAATGCATAAGATAGGAAATATTTCCACTTATAGATTCCAGCTATAAGATGCTCAAATGAGATTAGGGAATGAAGTAATAGAAGTGAAACACGAATTCTTTTATTCACATACATAAAATTAAGTACAACCGAAATTGAAAATAATTGAAAATGGCAGTAAAGATTAAAAAATAACGGTGCATTTTTATTATACAAAGATAACATCCAGAAACAAAATACTATATGAATATGATTGAACTATGAAAAAAACCTGCATGATTTTTTAAACTTGCTGACACCGATGGGGCAATGAAATCTAAAAAAGGATTTACTAACCGTATCCTGGTGGATGCTTTCCCAGCACGATAATCCCTTTGGAATTCTTTAATCGGCGGCAATCTGCGTTCCCGATTCTCCCTCAACACCTCTTCCTCCTCGGTGGTGACCTGCTGAATCGGATCCTGGTACTCCTGTAACGAGAACACGAAGCATACTCGTCTTTAAGTATTAGTAGGAACATTTGATTCGAAACGAGACTTTCTTGTTACATGAAACGGACCTGGATTCTCATTTTCATGGACTGCCTCTGCGAGCGTCTCAGAGTCGCGCCGGAAGGTTGTCTCACCCTCGTTGGTTTCCCAAGGTTCGAGCTTCCGGTGCTACCCGCCGAAGACGAACTCGAAGAAGACACGGAAGACACTCCTTGAATTGTTATAATATAAAAACATTCAACTTTCTCTTAACTCTCAATGAATAAATATGTATCAGTAAATTTTTACGAAGAATAAATGAAACTGTGCCGTGAAGAAATATTTTTTCCTGTGCCATTTTTTGTAGTTTCCAGCGCATCCATAAATACCGTATGAACCATGTGACTAACCGGAGATAGAGGACGAGCCACTGGCCATGGAGTACAGTGAGGCGGACGCTGGTACATTTCCGGGCACCCATCTACCACCGGGACCGGTCACCCCCACGGAGACCCCCGCACCCATATTGTATTCCGACGCGCTCTGTGGTAAAACCCAGGACTTGCCCGACATCGAATACTGTCAAACAGAACCATTGCAAACCCCTTTACAATTATCTGCATATCAAGAAAAAAGACATATGTATACATATGGTAATACTGTTTAAAAACAGTAAAGTATTTTCTGATTATAAATCAGTTTTGTATTATGTCTAAATTATTTATTATGTATAGCTGAGTTTAAAAAAAGAATAGATTCAAGTTCTTCTTCCTTAAAATTTCTTATAAACTACTTAAAGAAAATTTGATTCTGTATATAGGAAAGTCTGTAGGTGGATTCAGATAAGGATTTTGTAAGTGATAAATAAACTGCAGACGTTTGTACAAAATATTTCGTCAGTTTGAAGATGTGTTTTCGATAAACATTTGTTCGATCATTTAAGTATTGAAATACTGATTCCACTTTTAATATCCTGAACTGTTTTATAGACTACACTCGACATTTATCATTTCTGTAGATTCAATTTTCTTCGAATTACATAAGATCCGCATTCTAGTAATAAGGGAAAGTACTGTCCGGCCACTTAACAAAGAAACATTGCGCAGCTTGTTAAGAGAAACAATTTAATCCGGTCGGTTGTTATCGGATATCGTTTAAATCGCTTTGAGGTTTTATTAAATCGACGAAACGCTGCCGAGGCAAGCTCTGAACGCATTATTCACGGTTCGTTTCCCGCCAGAATCCTGGCAAAATTAATTGCAACTGCCTCGAGCGATACATTTTATTAAAGCTCGTTTCAGAAAAAAAGAATGTGAGAACGGTCATGCGTCATTCGGATTCCTTCGCGGGTAAGACGAGTAGTTTCGAGTCCGCTCCAATTAACAACCGCATTTCCTCTATTTTTCACGCCGAGCGAATAGCAGCTAATTTTTTTTTTTAAATATGGAACGTTCTCAAAATATACAATTCAACCAAAGGGGTGTAAACAGAAAACAATATGTTAGAACTAGACAATATTTTTTACATGACGTTTTCAATCCGACGCAGCGCGTCTCGAAGTTAACACTTTCTTAGTGCGCTTTCACACGGAGATAAACAAATCGCGATTCTCGTATGCGATTCGGTTCGACGGAACGACGAAATTAATATCTGCGACAACAGTTTACCCTCGGAAGCCTGCGATAATAACTTGGGAACGTAAAAATATTTTACATGCATGGGTAAGAGATTAACAAAAAATATTGCTTTGAGCGGCCCGGTCGCTTCCGTTCGCCCGCAATATCGCAGAGCACCGCTTATTACACGCCCACCTTCTCATTTTTATCACCGGATTATGAGTATTTGCTGCGTGAAATATTTTTTTAAAAAATAAAAGCCAGATTCGTTAAAAAATATTAAGATTTATTAGAATTATTATTACTTGTTATACACTAGTTTATTATTTATTATAAAAAAAATAACAATAATACAATATCTAAGAAAAATCAGAAACAGAATATTTTATGAAAAATGAGGCATAGATTCACTACCGTTTTCGGGTATTGCAGAATCAAAAACGGAGAATCATTGTCTCATGCTGTACAGATCAATCATTCGGCAGTTCGTTTCATCTTCTCATTTTTAAACAAAGAAGAACGCATGTAAAGATGTGAACAAGTCATGAATCGCGATTCTTGGATCTCTGTGTGAAAGCCCTGTTCTGGTGCATTTAACAATGCAGTTATTCCAGTGAAAAAGCATACACAGGTTCGAGATTAAAAGAACTGTTTAAAGGGATGAGAGGATGAGAGCCACGTTGGAGAGTCGTGTACTCGCCGGGTTTAAACGAGGGAATGGAAATGGGATTTGAAAGAAGGAGCACGAGGTTACGTGATTATTTGCGTTACTTACATCCCGTGGGATGAGGGTTTGTTTCAGCCGTAGAATCTTTGCCCTGCATATGACACATCTCAACGGTAGCAGCCTCTGCGACACCGCCATTTGTATCGTCTTCACGAAGCAACGTCTGTGACACGTTCACAAAGGAGGTCCGACAAATTTATCACAGATAAAAAAATGTGAAAGCCAGACAGGTCCCATAGAATGTTTATATTTCACGATAAAACGCGGTTTGATCAATTTCATACGATAACACTCTTTTCGTCACACAGTGCCTTTTTACATCCAATCAGTGGAAATGATATTATTTGAAAAATGCATTGAATGACACGTTCCATTTATTTCCCTAATATTTGATATATCCTTCATTTTAATATCGCGTTCGTACTTTATAAAAATGAAATTTTATACGAGAGCAAGAAAACATAATTTCTGTCTAGTTTTATATCTCATATTATTTTCTTAAAGATTCAAATTTGTGATGTTATGTATAATTAATTTTTTCCATTTTTTATAATCATACACGTGATACTGTAACTTAAAATATTCTTATAGGTGGAATTAGAATGAAGGTATGTTTCATGCAACGTGGAAGATACTTTTTATGGGACCTACCAAAAATTTTCATCTGTTTACCTGCAAACCACTCGGTGACCACAAGGAGCCGTTTGCACCGTGGCTCTGGCATTCACGCAGATTACACACTACGGCAAGATAAAACAAGAAACTAATTAAAGTTCTGTTATAATTTGACCCTAACTAATTACAATTCAACGTGTCAGTCTATCAATATTCCTAGCAACGTCTGAGGTCTCATCGAACATCGCCCAAAGGGATGAACACTAAAATCCGATATACTCCCTTTTCAGGGAGTCTCTATTTGGTCAGCAGAAATTTTCTCCCTTGCTCAATCTGGCAAGGGAGCTGAATCATTCTTTAAAGGAGAAGATACAGTATTTATATTTCGTTCATTACTATTTTTTTATTTATATCGAAAGTTCAGGACAAAATGTCGACGGTTAAATGGACAAGCTTAAAAATAACTGGAAAACTAATTAACTAACTTAATTAAGAAATTCTTTAAACAGAGAAGATGAGTTGTGTGTAAGGGAGTAGGCGTGGGATTTTCGTATTACAAGTTTTTCTAAGTTACATTTATTCTAGTAATCCTTAGTAATTTTAGTATTACATTTAATTAGTAATAGTTTAGACGATAATCCCTTGAGTACAAGCTCCACAGTATCCTGTCCTTATAGATACAGCGTCCACAAAGAGTTTCATCCAAACATATTTCCTGTACAAATTATAGTGATCACTAATTACAACCTCCAAATATTGCAGACAGAATTTATATTATTGACTAAAGATTATGTCAATTTTGAATTCACAATATTAAGTTATACCACCGAATAATTTTAAATCTTTGATTATTAATTTTAATTTGGATAGTCAAAAGAGAACTCCTTCCTTCATTCGTTCACGTACCTACGCGTTTGGCCATGTTACCCATGTCGCCTGCTATGGAACCTGGGTCCATGCCACCACCCATACCAGGCATACCCCCCATGCCACCACCTCCTTGGCCACCCTGTTGAGGAGCTCTCTTAGATCTTCCTCCGGCCATGCTACTAGCAGATGCTACGACCATATCCTTCGCTCCGTTAGCGATACTGTCGAACGATGGCAAATTGGGTGGAGGTCCGCACGGAGGTCCGTTCGGTGGGCCACACATGGAATTCCCATCATCGGGGCTCCGCTTGTCCCGAGGACTACTCGCAGTCGTCATCGCTTCCGCGCACCCGGCAATCTCCAATTAATTGGATGTTTAATTACATTTATTTAAACACCAACTGAGATTTCAAATTCTGACTATTTATTTAAACGACGTATCATAAAAGTCTTACAGAGAGCCCGACGACGGCGATTACACTGGCTAGCAGTAGGTGCTTCATGATCATCTGTTTCCACAATTGAGACTGACTCTTCCTCTTGCAATCCGGTGGATTAAATAGTTGGAGAAAATGAAAGGAGTAAGACAATAAATTTCCAGTCTCACTCGTTATGTCAACCGATCTACAGTCTCAGTGTTTTTTTGTACCAATTACAGGATATGACGAAAGAAATTGGCAATGATAAAACAATAAGCCACAAACGTTATCGTTCATCTAACTACTGTGTAACAATCGTATTGTCTTATCTTCTTCGGAAATGTCGAGCGACCAATATAATAATGTACTTTTTGTCGGGTTTGAATTATATAATCGACCGTGATGTAACAAAGGACTAACTAAGATAAACGACATGAGCCACTATAATAATTTTCTGTTAAGAGAAGTCGACGTTTAACGATTTATCTTGATTTTTCATTTTATATATGAAATTTAAATAATATCATACTTGTTCAAGATTTATAAATGTACTTGTAACGCAAAGGTAATTAAGATCTTATTTAAGGGAAATTGAAGAAAGAAATCGCCAAGACATTCAGCAATGCGAAACGAATAAAAAAAACAGTATTTCACACCTTGGACGTTTTAGCATTTAATTAAAACTGCTAACAGATTATACAGGTAAGAGATCGTAATTTATTCAATTAAAATTAGTGAAAAGCATTTTGCTTAAAGAATTTCTCATTCAATTAAAAGCCCTGGACTGCTCGAAGTGGAAACGATATTGTACATGCATAAATTAAATGGGGAACTCAAGTGGTCTCAGAGTTACAATATTATACACATGCCATTGCTTTCAAACCTTGGGAGCTTTATTAACCGATTAAATTTAATTGGATTTATGTATATTATGTATTGGTCAAAATTGCGATTAAACTAGACTCGTGTGTTACTCACTGAAATGGAGGATTTAATTAAATTCGTAATTATTACCAAGGTGATTAATTAACGTTACACAATTCCCGTCCTTGAGAATTTCGCGGACACCTCGAACACGTCGGGCATAATTAGCGGGATGTCAGGGGCGTTTTTTCGCAGCACTCGACGTCGAGAGAGTGCCGCGACGCGCCGCGGCATCTCGTAATCGACATAACCGAATGAAGCGTCGGGGCTTGATCGAAATATTAATAGCCTCGGATCGAGGGGGTGGACGAACAACGTCAGGAGTCGGCTATTACTTTGTCAGCCCTCGTTAATCTACTTTCACGACCCATCGACCGACCTATTCGCATGGAAATTGCAACTTTTCCGGACCAACGACAGTCTTTCGAACCGCCACTACACACAGGTCTCTATACTACAGTAATACTTCTATGCAACGTGTCCATCTAACCGTCGAAAATTTTCTCTGCAACCCCGGCACGACCACTTCGTTTATTAATTCCTTTCTGGGTCACTGTACCCGACGGTTTTTTTTCTGTTTCATCCCTTTTGGCGCGGTAAAAATAATTTGTCGCGCCCGAAATAAAAACAGCCGTTCTCCAGTCGGCAGACTCTTGCACCGCTCATGAACTTTCACCTGAAATATCCTGTTTTTCAATTATTTCATGTCTTCACTTCAATTTTGGGCTCCTTTTTAATTAGTACCAATCAAATCAGATTTATTCGACCTGTGTTTGATTACTAATATTTCTTTTTGTGATTAGATGACTGGACCGAATAGGATGGCACCCAAATATTTAGTACCTCTCCCTGACATGAAATATAACTATTGTCCAACATATATATTAAATTTACAGATTTATTCAATGTTTTATTTTTTACATTATGAGTCAAAAAGGCACACTTAATTTTGAACAATTATTTTATGTGCATACATTTTGCATGTTTTATGTCTTGTATGTATTTATGTTTTGCATGTTTTATGTCTTGTATGTATTTATGTTTTGCATGTATTATCAATAGATTTTGAAATATACATGCATTTCTTCTTTTTTTTGGGAAGATGTTAAATAATTCATAGTAGATACCAAATAGTATGAAAGAAGTACTAAAACCTCATGAATTCAAGACCATGAAAAATGGTTGAAATGGTTCAGACAGCCTGATATCAGAATCGCTGACTACTTTCATAATCACATTTCTCTTCTCATGGAGAGATACTAAATAATTCATGGTAGGTACCAAATAGGTACTAAATGGTTCGGAAACATCAAGCCAAATAGCCCATTTATTTGGATTATGCAAAGATAAAATAGTATTCTGATAAAATATACATTTAAACTAAAAATTCTGTTATTGCCTTTAATTATCTTGTACTTCACTAGTATATTTAAAAATACGTGAAATTATTCTCTGACTCTCCCAGATTTCACGTAATAAAAGTTGAAATCAAGAATAAGAATCGTCGGACAAATCTGATTCCTGGTCTTCCACCCTCTATTGAAATGACGAATAAGGCTTGATGATGGTCTGTACTTGTCAGGGATGAGGGAGCGGGCAAAAGTAACAAGGTTACGCACCCCGGGAGACCTCGAAGTAAAAGGCTGACCTTTATCCGAGGCCGGGGTGGTACCAGCGCAACCCGTCGGGTGCTAATTCAATCGGATGTTACTCAGGGAAATTTCTTTCGTTCCGTGGCTGGATTAAGTAGAAATTTCCCTTCCACCAGGCTTCCAATCGAATCTAGTCGGTTTGAGCGGTAACGCGATCAGGAAAATTATTGAACCCTTCTCATCAAGAGAACCAATCGAAATGATTGAATATTGAAGATTGGGAATTAGTCTTCAGTATTTGCCTTGCTTGGAATATCAATGCATTTGTTATACGAATATTAATTCATTCTGATAGACTTTGTAATCGTTCGCTCAATAATTGAATTTTATTCTTCGCTTTTATTATTGTCGTATGAAAAATGTGAAACAAAAAATCACTGACCTCGTCCTCCTGCGAGGACGCCAGCTCCGGTTCGTGCTTCTCCAGCTTGGTTAGCAGTTTGTCCTGAAACAAACGAACGGAACAACTCATCAGCACGCAATAAGGCTCGGTGTCAACGAGGATTGATTTTTTTTTCATCGGCACAAGTTGAAGGCCTCGGTCGTTTTCACGGAACGATACACACGTGCATAGCGCCACGGCAATTGTTTCACCGCCGCTGCTATTCTTGCAACAAGCGTTACGAACAATCGATTCGCGTTATCATTTCCCGTCGCTTTCTCCTTTTCATTTCTCTTTCATGGTCCGGTCAATGCGATTACGAAAGTTTGCAAATCGAATTTTCTCCGCTGGTTAGGTTCCAGTGGAAAATTCTTGGGAGGATTGCGAGGGAACAGAAATTCCTGGGAGGATTTCATTGAAATGGAAAAATGAGAATTTTATTCCTCCAGTTTTCCTTACCTCAGTATAAATTTGTCGTGCTCATTTTTAGTTCGAATTATTTTACTTAAGAAACGATCATTCGAAAGATTTACAAAATCTATGTTTATCAACATTTATTATGTAGTATAATAATTTCTTTGTCAAAATTTGTATACTTTCCAATAAAAATTATATTTATAAGAAGATATTAATTTCTAATTCAATCCTGAAGATGTTCTTTTAAAAAAGTGTTCTATTTATCATTCATAAAATTAGGAAATGCATTACTATGAAGAATTATTAATTCATGTACTAATTCTTTCCTCGAGGTTCTTATCCTTTCCAATAAAAATTTTATCTACAAGAAGACATTCATTCCTAATTCAAACCTGAAGACGTTCTGATAAACACAACACAAACATATTGAATCGTTTGGCAAACGAGCAGGAAAAACATTCTCTGAAAGGTCGAGATTGAGACAATTACTTTTTGGCATCTGGCAGCGGGGATAGAAGAACGTGGAAACAATAGACGGGCGTCTCCCGTCCGTTGTTATTTCGGCGAACGGGTTAAATGGAAAATTGGTCAGCCGTGATTCGAGGGGGAGTAGAGACCGTGTCTCTCGGTGCGTCACGGTGAAAAATTGCTGTACCCGGCGACGATGCTCAACCCGTGCACCACCGACTAGCCGGTGGTGGGGATATTTTGCGCATCATCCCCCTAATATCTGGAAAGCACCCTGACCCAGATACGCGCACCTACATACGCGTTCGAACGACTAAACCGGACCCGGCGTCAAATGAAAAATCTAGGCGACACTAGCCTTTTCGAATTTCGCCAATCCCTTCTATTTCCAAACGATCTTTCTCGACGTTCACTCCGGGTAATTGAAGCCACTATTTTAGCGAACTCGGTATTTCTATCAAATCTTTACATACTAAAATAATTTTTAATAGACTGAAATATTAATTTCGCACATTTTTTACACTAATCATGATATTGGACACTTATTTTTAATTATGTAGTAGTAGTGTTTTATTTTAGGCATTTCTGTTTTAAGGACTAGAGTAGTTACGTGACTTTTCTAACATTTCTTTATGAAATTTTGACAATTTTTATTTCGTTTTACAATCAGGCAAAAATAGAATACAATATCATGGCCATGTTGTGGGTGAGACAGTCCACTGAAAATTTTGTGCGCCGCCTGAATTCGGCTGACATGGCAGTCAAAGTGTTAAAAGGGATTTGGTTCGTATTGCATAAAGTTTCCCACATACTATGAGCTATTCAGGGCTGTCCAAATGGACAGGACTGTAGTTTCTGCAATATATTGAAATCATCCTTGACTTATTTTAATTTCTTTAATATTCCATTCAACAGCAAAATGCAATCATTTTATTTCATTGAAATCATAGATATTCAATTAAAAGTAAGTGCAACTTGATCTCACATATTTTCATTCTATGCACTGTATGTATATAATATTATAATATTTGATACATATGATTAGCATGCGTTTACACATTAGCTTTCTCCTATTTCAATTAGCTTATCTCTCTCACTTCGATCTTTCCTCTTCTCCTCTCAAGATTTCTCTCATCGATATTTCTATTTTTCTATGTGTTCAAACTCAAACGTTTCTAGCTCGATCTGGCATATACGACACTCATTTTCTTACGCTTCGAATATATTTTAATATTTAAATGATAAAATAAACTGTTATTCAGGTCACATTTTTTAAACTAATACCATAAGTATTCTATTTTTTATAAAAATCACTCATCAGAATTTATAAAAGAAACCGTTGTTATCATTCCACTTGTGGATCTGATACACTCTGCAGCTCTTAATGAAGATTGTCCGGTAGTTCCACGTATTTATAGTAGCGAAACAGCGAAGTGGAAGTTGGGTAGTCAATTAGGCATCCTGAAAACGGTGCTCTCAGCTGGTTAACGGAATTACCGCGTGGAAATTGCACAATTTCCATTCGATACAGGGAACGCGGCGATCAGTATTGGACTCGTACCCAAGGAGGCCATCAACCATTCGATTAACCCGCCGATTTATTGCTTTCAATTTTACCTAGTAATTGTTATCGTGCGCGCACATTTCCTTCGCTGCCCCGCCTAATCTCTTACCCGGACAAAACCGAGCGATTCGTCCATTGGACACAAATTCTAATTGAATCGTACACAAATGAAATTCTGAGACGAGGTCCGTTTCTCAGGGAGCGGCCGATGTTTCAATTCAATTGAACTGCTCAGATATAGTAACGTGATCAGATGCTGCAGAGTACCACTTCACATTGACTGTCTTACTACTGCAATTTAAATTAGTAGGTTCCAATTAATAATTGATCTCTAGATTCTATATTGGAATGGAAATGCTTGAATCTTGTTAGGAGGGAGATCAGTGGTTTAAAATTATTTATTGCATTGAATACCAATTTATATTAATTATTTTATTACTGCAATTTAAATTCTCATGTTTCAATTAATAATTGATCTCTATATTCTATATTAGAATGGAAATGTTTAAATCGTGTTCGGGGGAGACGTCAGTGATCCAGAAACATTTTATTGCAGAAAATCGGTTAGTTAGCTGTAGAAAGAGCTCAAGGCGTCATGGTTGAGATCTTCGATCCTGCGCTGCAATCTCCGCTTTCGATTTCTGCCAGTTTGCTATCATCTGGCATTCATTGTTGACAAGACTCAGACACGTTCCTGAGTTTTCTATACATCTGTGAACGACATGACTGTGCCGCTGTTCCTGGCTTCCTTACTGTGTCGCATAATCGTCATCAGAAGAGGTAATATACATTCAATTTTACCATCTTTCATAATAATTATAATTTAAATTTTCGTGTACAGAAATTTTGTATTGTAAATTTTAAAAATAAAATCTAAATTCAAATTACCATAAAAAATAATGATTATACTCTTCAGATTCTCCATATTTTTCTTGAGTATTTTCTGCACATTTAATTTTTCATGTACTTTATTTATAATATCTATTTAATTAATTTATAATATACTTTTGTTATACTGAAATTATTTATAGTATGCCCATAAAATTTCTATTTTTAAATATAATTGACTAAAACTTGTTACATTATAAATAACACTGTATGAAGTTTATTGTATGGATTTATTGTGTGGACTATTGAATAGAAGAATGTAGGTCGTATTGATGAGACTAACAATAGAAGGGTCGTAGTTCGATTGGTATTATTTTTTTTTAATTTCGAGGTTAATTAACCGGACTGGAAACCACCCTCGGGGGAAACAAATAACGAACAGAACTGGAAGCAAGCATGAGAAATCCCAACCAGAAGTTCTGTTCCCGCTGTTTACTTCGAGTAGAAGAGCTTTTGTGAAGCGCGCGCGTATTCGGAGCGAAGGAGGCGAATAATGGTTTTATTTAAATTTTCGGGGATCGCCTTCAACCTCGCTCGCTTTTCATGAAAAATCCTGAATACCGGAGCCCGGTGTCCGTGGAAAATTCGGTGCCCTTTGTGCGGAATTTTATTCACGGTTTCACGATTTAGAAGGGATTTCTCAATTCTTTGTACAAAGTGCAATTATCCGGTATTTTAACACATTCCTCTATTTATATTTAGTATAGAATAAAAAAAAAATTACTTTTAGGATTTTTTTAATTAGTTAAAAATTCAAGGTTGCTTTTAAATTAGGTGCAAAAATGATTTGGAGTAGCGAAGAATCTTTGGGTGAATTCTTGAATCGACGTTCATGTATTTTAACATTGTGACGTATGGCTGATTAGAATAATGAAGGTTCTAAATACTTACTTCTCTGAAAGTAGGAAACCATGTTCAAGAATTATACTAGAATAGGCACGAAATTAGTTCAAACTATTATAAAGTTGGTTTATCGATTTAAATATTGACGTATGTTTAAATTTGACAAAAGTAACTGAATTGTTCCAATTAACTACGTCATTTTAAAGTTTAAAATTTTTGTACCAGCACTTAACTTCTCAAAATAAATATGCACATAAAAATTATCAAAATTTCCAAAATACTAATATTTATTAACGAAGTATTATTTGCTTAATATAATTAGCTAAGGACTTACTTAATTTTATATCTACTATACACGAAAACATATTGACCTAAAAAAAAATTATAGTAAACTGTTTAAGGCTGTAGTTCCTTGAAGCGTTAATGCACTTTCACTTGTAACAAGTTATAGGAGATGCACTAGATTCAATAGTAATTGGGTTAGCATAAATTAACCGTATTAACCAGTGCGTGTCACGCAACTTTCTCTGGTATAACTATAAAAACCTAATCTTCACGTCATAATAAAAACATTCTTTCTTATTATCACAACATGTGATAATAATTATTGCCAATATCATAATAGGAATGAACATAATAGTGAAATGATCATAATAGTAACTATGACCGTGGTGATTAATCTTCCGTTGCAAGATCACGGATTGACAATGATTTGATTCTGAATTCTCCATTGCAAAATAGTCTTTCCGTGAACCAATTCAAGTGCCATTCACTTGGCACCTTTCGCACGTCGGATTATGCCTGAGCCGCAACAATACTTGGTTCATTAGCTCCTTCACTTTCACTCCCAGTTACGGAACAAACCTTGATTGGTATTGATACC